CTGGTTCCAAAGTTCTGGTGGCCGTACACCCCCCCCCCCACCGTCACTTGACCGTATGTCGGATGCTGGGTAACCAGCCTGTAGTTAGATATTGGCAGCCTCCCGTGGTCATTTGACCAAGATTTATGACATTTTTGCAAAAAATGGCCTTCTACTTTTCAGCAAAAATGTCCCAGAGTGCACAAGGGCTCACTTAATGATCACCACAAAAATGGTTGTAAAATTGGGTTGGTTGCATGGACAATCCACTTTTCAATTGTCACAGCTTATGCTGTAGCGGGCACGCTCCATTAGTCGTAACTCAAGGACTTCCTGTCCAAGCAGCGTAAGGCTCTGGGTGGCTTCCCTGCCCTGCTTGAGAAGGTGCCCATCATGCCAGAAATGATGCCCTCCCCGCCAGCCCATCCCAGGCACCCGACTCCAGCAGGCTGGCTGTGGGGGTGGCCCGTGGCGGTTTTGCCAGCCGGGCGAGAAGGGCTAATTTCCATTTAGCAAAGAAGCCCATCTTGGAAACTGGAAAGAAGGAAGCCTTGGGCTACTCCCAAGGCTCTGGAGCCTGGGTGAATCATCCCTGCTGAGAATGAGGGGCTGCCCCTCCCTCCCTCCCCAGTGCCCTTCAGAGTAGAGGCTGCAGCCAAGGATTCAGCTGTTCAGGTGTCTCCCCCCCCCCAGTTTGGAGAAGGAGCTGCTGACCTCTTCAGACTTTCTCCGGTTCCCCTGAGCTGCAGATGCCCACTCCCCTCCTTGGGGCCTGCCTCCAGGCACACTGGCACACCCCCCCCAGCCCAGCCCCTGTTCTTGCTGACTGTCCCCTCCCCCGTGTCCCCTCCACCCTCACCACGAGGCTGGTGGAAATGACATTTGTTCTTGGTTAAGCTTCTGCCTTGATTTAGATTCCCTCCATCTGCTGCCTGCCTGGGCTCCCCCTTCCTTTGTCTCCGTGTCTGCATGACCCCTTTGTTGCCGTCAGCTCCATCTTTCCGCGGCTCCTGCCAGCACCGCCACGACCCTCTTCTCCCAGCTGGGGGTGGGGAGAACCTTTGCGGGACCAGCAAGCCAGGAAAGGCAGCGTCCCCAGAGGGATTTTGTCTCAAAATTGGTCCCCAAATGCTCGCAGATTACGAAAGCCAGCTGAACAAGGAGGGCTGGACCAATCCTCGAGAAAGAGGATGCAGGAGCATGCACGAAGCCCCTCTCTTTGAACCCTTAAAGCAGCCGCCTTTTCTCCCAGGTCTTTGCGTCTGTTTTGGGATGTGAAGCAGCTGTAGATGCTCACCTGCATGGAGACGGCCCAGGGCAACTTCCGAAGCAGATGGGCTGGGCCAGGGTGGGTGCAAAGGAAGCTGCCTGGAGGATTGGCGGGATCCACTCAGCCCTGTTGCAAATACGCAGCCAGTGAGGGAGGCTAGTCTCTGGCAGAGAGGGCTCTCTGCGCCCCAGGCAGCTCTCCCGCCCCCCAATTAATGCCCTTCTGGCTATCCCTGAGTTGAGATTCCAGCCCAGAAGGGCCATGCTGGGGGTGTGTGCAAGGGAGGAGTGTGGAAAGTCTGGGGTTTTCCAGGGCCGGGAGAGCACTGAAGTGGGCAGAGGGGCACTGGATGAGTGGGGTGAGAAGGCAGAAATTCCATCTTGGCTGGGACCAGCAGAGGAAGGTAGGATGGGAAGCTGAGGACGGGCTATTCAGGAGGGAGATGGGCCTGGTAGTTTCTTTCCAGCCCTCATCCCGAAGGCCAGGGGGTCAGATCCTCAGTGGCCCTCAATCCCAGCTCTTGCCTTAGGATGCCAAAATGGAATGATCCTCCTGATTGGCTACTTTTCCAACAGTCACTCCTGCGCTGGTCCCCTTGGGCATGGGCTACAGCAATGTGCTTTACTTATGGCTTCCCTTGAAGGCTGCTCAGAAGCTGCAACCGGTCTCAAATAATTCTGCTCTGCCCGTTGCCATCAAAAGCTTGCAGGAGCAATTCAAGCTACTGATGATCACCTACAAAGCCTTCATGGCAGGACCATTGGCCTTCCCTGGTTTCTCCACAGCCTGGGCACAACTGGCACAGTCCAGACCCCTTCCCCTTGGGCCAGGGTTCTCAACCCAAGCAACTTTAAAATGGGTAGACTTCATGCTGGCTGGGGAATTCTGGGAGTTGAAGTCAAGCGGTCTTCAAGTTGCTGAGGTTAAGGAACGCTGCCTTAGGCCATGCCTCTTGATAGGCCCTGGGGAGTCTGCCTTCTTTGTGCCAGCATCTGCCCTCTGAAATGCTTTCCCAAGGTACCCCTGGCTCCTGCCCTGCCCCCCAAACCCTTCTCAAAAGATGGCAGGTGCAGCATGTTTGATTCTTTTTCAAGAATGTTTTCCTACAAGATATTTGGATTCCTAATTGTGTTTTATGATTATTTTTACTGTACAGGTAGTCCTTGAATTATGAATGTAGTGGAGCCTCCCTTTCTGTTTCTAACCTGAGGATTCGTAGGAGTGAATCGTGTATCTTGAACGCCATCACTCCCGCCTTTTGCCCATGCATTCACCAATCGAATGCACGGGTTGTTAAGTGCACATGAGTTATCTGGGGAAGGCCTTGGGGTGGGGGTGGGGGGTAGTGATGCAGCAGGCCACCTGCTTCAGACCACCCAAGGCCTTCCCCATCCCACTAAGATACCTCATTGTCCCTCCCCTGGGATCCCCACAATTGCTCACCACCCCCCATCCTGCCGTGCCGGGTCACTTACTTGTGAAGTTCTGTCTCCAGTCCAGCCTCGCTGCTTCTTTGCCTGCGAGCGGCGAGAGCAGAGGGAGAGCAGGACAAGCGTGCCCTGCTCGGCTTCTCTGACTTGCTGGGCTGCCTGCCACTTCTGGAGCAGCGGGCAGCCTCGGGGGTCTCCTTCAAAGGCTTCCAGGTTCGGGGTGGAAAAGCGTTTGCACACGGAAGGGAGGTTTGAGGCAGCGAAATCACATTGCTTCAAGCCTCCCGTTGGCGTGCAAACCCTTTTTGCGCACAGACTGGAAGCTTCCAGTTGCCCTGATCTCGCGGGACGTCAGACACCCATTCTCTGCAAAACCGGATGGGTGCCTAAAGTTGCACGAGATCACGGCCCCCAGAAGCTTTTGGCCTCTGGCTGAAAAGTGTTTATGCGCCTATGGGGTGCCGCTATAAAGAGCCCCATAGAGCTTGAGGAGGCCTTTGTTGATGAGGACGGAGGCCCAGAGGCACGCGGGGCTCTGTCCTTGTCAGCAAAGTCCTTGAGGAAAGGCCTCTCCCGCCATAAACGGAGGCCCGGAAGGATGCGGGCATCCCTCCTGGCCTTGGCAGCAAAGGCTTTTTGCAAAGATGGCAGAAGGCTTTGATGTTTCAGGCCTTCCCTCCATTTGCAAAACTTTTTGCCTCAGATCTCTTCCAGGCTTCCATTTGCAGAGAGCAGAGGCCTAAAATGCCGTGAGATCATGCAAGCTCGGTAGGGTGAGATCTCACACTACTGATCTCGCGTGATCCTTCGGTACTTTAGGCATCCATTCTCTGCAAACGCACCAAAACAGGCCAAGAAACGGAAGGCTCCCTGGATCTTCGCCATGCCTCTTGCCCATGGAGCCCTGGAGGGGGAGGGGGAGGAGAAGAGGAAGGGCAAATATTGCAGTGCCTCTGCGGTTGTGCACAAGTGTGAATGACTGCCAAGGTGCTGCAACATTCGCTGCTGCGCGAGCTGCATTGGCTGCCGGTGGCCTTCCGGGTGCGCTTCAAGGTGCTGACTATCATCTTTAAGGCGCTCCATGGCAGCGGACCGGGATACCTTCGAGACCGCCTTCTGCCACAGATTACCTCCCATCGGCCAGTACGCTCCCACAGGGTGGGTCTCCTCAGGGTGCCGTCAGCCAGACAGTGCCGGCTGGCGACCCCGAGGGGGAGGGCCTTCTCTGTGGGAGCTCCCACCCTCTGGAATGAGCTGCCCCCAGAGATCAGGGTGATCTCTGATCTCCCTTCCTTCCGCCGCGCCCTCAAGACTTGGTTATTCCAGCTTGCAGGACTGGCCTAGGGTAATTTTTAGAGGGGTTTTAATCATATTTTAATTAGACAATATTTAAATATTTCTTTTTAATTAATTTTAACTCTGTAATTGTTATTTATGTATTTTTAATTGATTGTCAGCCGCCCTGAGTCCGCAAGGAGAAGGGCGGGATATAAATTTAATAAATAAATAAATAAATAAATAAATTTCGGGACTTGTTCAAAAACACTAGGGGGCGCTTATGGCGTAACTTTGAACATTCGCTAAGTGAACATTCGTAACTCGGGGATTATTTGCCTATCACCCAGAGTTGCAGAGTCGCAGAGTTAGGCATTGTTATAAATGGAATGGAACAGAATGGAAGAGAAATATAGAATAAAATGGAATATAATAGAGTCTCCTTTGAAGAGATAGGCAGGCAACGTACAAGTCTGACAAAGAAGAATGGAGTGGAGTGGAGTGTGGAACATGGAACATGGAGTAGAACATAGAATATAGAACATAGAACAAAACGGAACTTAGAACAGAGCAGAGTAAAATAGGAGTTAGTCCTCAATTTCTGACTGGTCACTTAGCAATTTTTCGCATTTACAACCGTTTCCAGCATCCCATGGTCAGATGACAGCAATTCATGCTGTTTTTGCAGAAAACTGGCATTTACTTCCGGTTTCTAGCATGGCTGGCTGGGGAACTCTGGGAGTTGAAGTCCACCCATTTTAAAGTGGCCAGGTTTGAGAAAGAATGTCCTAGATAAATGCAGGCATCCAGAGAATGCGTGTGTCTGTGTGTCTGTGTGTGATTGTCATACTGCTGTTAATATTAGAGGGGAGGGGGAGGGGGAGGGGGAGCTGCTGCCTTCCCCTTTTAGCCCCCTTAGGTGCCATTTATAAGTACCTTCCCTCAGTGGTCCAAGTGTCGTGAGGCGCTTGGGTCCTCTGCATCCTTCAGATCCGGGTCCAGCTACTAAATTTTCTTTCTCCTTTCTTTCTTCTCTTTTTCCAAAGGTTGCAAAATCAAAGCTCTGAGAGCCAAGACCAACACTTACATCAAGACGCCGGTCCGCGGTGAAGAGCCCGTCTTCATGGTGACTGGGCGGCGGGAGGACGTCGCCATGGCCAGGAGGGAAATCATCTCGGCTGCTGAGCATTTCTCCATGATCCGCGCTTCCCGCAACAAGGCCGGCCCCACCTTCGGCAGCGCCCCCACCTTGCCTGGGCAGGTCACCATCCGGGTCCGGGTCCCCTATCGTGTGGTGGGCTTAGTTGTGGGGCCCAAAGGAGCCACCATCAAGCGGATCCAGCAGCAGACCAACACCTACATCATCACACCCAGCCGCGACCGGGACCCCGTCTTTGAGATCACCGGGGCCCCCGGCAACGTGGAGCGAGCCCGAGAGGAAATTGAAACCCACATCGCTGTCCGGACAGGCAAAATCCTAGAATACAACAACGAGAATGACTTCCTGTCCAGCAGCCCTGACTCAGGCATGGAAAACCGCTACTCAGAGGCCTGGCGGGTCCACACTCCTGCCCCAGGTTGCAAACCCCTCTCCACCTTCCGCCAGAACAGCCTCGGGTGCATCGGTGACTGCTCCTTGGACCCTGCCTATGAGACGCCCCGGCTGAACGACCAAAACGATTTCAATTACAGTTACCTCTTCCCTAACTACGGGGTCAACAAGCAAGACCTGTATTATGGGGTCCCCGAGTCAGGAGCGCCTCTGTGGGCTGGCCAGGAAAACACCAATCCGGTTTCTGTGCTGTTCTCCAAACAGCGCTCGGGCAATGCCGGCACCCTCCACCCCAATTCGCACCGCTCCCCTTCGTCATCCATCCAAGAGCCTCCCCTCTCTGGGCTTCCGAGACGGTCTCAGGGGGAGCCCCTGCAAGGGTTTTCCAAATTGGGTGCTTCCACTGCCACCCGGACATCCCTCTCGAGCAGCCGGGAGTGCATGGTGTGCTTCGAAAGCGAGGTAACGGCGGCCCTGGTGCCCTGCGGCCACAACCTCTTCTGCATGGAGTGTGCCGTGCGGATCTGCGAGCGGACCGACCCCGAGTGCCCGGTCTGCCACGCGGCAGCGACTCAGGCCATTAGGATATTTTCTTAAAACCAGCAGCAGCTGCGGAAACCCTGGCAAACAGGAAGGAGAGCGAGCAAGAGACAAGACGGACGGAAGGACATCAGAAGCAGGAACAAACACAGGAGAGAAACGAACATTAGTTTAAAGAGGAAAGAAACTATTTTAGGAGCAATGTATGTTATTTTTAAAGAAAATAATGATAGTGGTGATGATGACGAAGATGACGGATACGATTTAACTGGAGAATCTATAAATATTTGGGCAGGCGATTTGATACGCAGTGGTTGGTGGTGCTGATTTTTGGTGGTGAATTCTTTCTCAAGATGGTCTTGGGGCGGGGCTGGAGGAGGGCTGACCTGGTGGATCTGTGGCATCTCCTGGTGATCGAGAAACTTCTCCTCGGGGGCTGCTGCTCCTCTTCTCCCCAACAACCCAGCTCCGGTCGTGGCCACAACATGGCCGGAAGATCTTGGCCGGCCTGGCGGACAACAGCTTTGGAAGGAACTCAATCAGGAGGACAGGAGAAAGGAATAAACAAGAGAGAAGCCTCTGGGAAGATGATCAAACGAGGGCACAACTGCATTACCTCAGCATTTAAAAAGAAAAAGAAAAGAAGCAGCTAAAGACCTTTATATTCTGTTTCCTCTATTTTTTTTTTTCTAAGAAAAGTTTAATGAAAATGAATAATATTTGGGCCAGGAAAACGAGGAAAGGGGTGTGAATCCTCCTGGCTACTTTAACCTTTTCATTTGGAGTCTTCTGAGCCACCGCAAAGGGTTTTGAACATTGATCTTTCTTTTTCTATCCAAGCAGGGATTCATCTAATAAGAATCAGGAGTCACTAACAGGGTATTTCCAAAAAAGAACAAAAATCCTGCATGCAAATCAACCCTTCCAAATGTCAGGTGAGGGTTGACCTCCATAAACCTGCATTTCATGATGCAATTTCAAAGACACAGCCATGCAAAAGAGAAGTGTTTTTCTTCCTTTTTTTCTCACTTGATTTTAACAAGTTTCACATTAAAACCTAAGAAAATGATCATGCAATACCGGCAACAAAACCCCATTTTAATCCACAACCCAATACAATGCAAAAAACAAAAACAAAAAACCCACCAGTAACTATTCAAATTGACAAGTTCATATATAATTTTGTTATCTAACTGGACCAAAACTTTTCTTACTCAAAATCAAGTAAAAAGATTTTAAAAAAGAAAGAGTATTTCCTTATGGACCAAAACCTCTTTTCACTGTCCTCATCTGGATCTTCCTGAGGTTATCTAGTTTTATATATTCTATTTTTTTCAGAATGAAGCAGACACATGCTCAAAAAAAAAAAAGGAAAAAAATAATCTAATGTTGAATTGCCTTGCAGAACATCCTTAATCATTTCAAGACATTTGACTGCTGCTTTTGTGATCTCAGATACCTGGTTCAACTTCTGGGCCTGGAAGAGCTGCTGTGCTGCTCTCCCTGTGAATTCACCTCCAACCACGTCACTTGGTGAGATTTATTCAACTTGCTACCTGGATGCCAAACATGCAAAGGGGTGGAACAAAACAACACACACACGCGCACACAAACACACATACATATTCCTTTTCTGCCCATTGCCTGTTACATTTGCTTAAACTTCTTGGACTCGTTTGCAGAAGGAAACTTTGCAAGCTCAGAGATGGTTTGAGAAGACAAAAGATTCTGGTTTGGGTTTTGCTTTGTGCATTTTATGGAAGACTTTTGTTTCATCGCCACGTAACGTTCTTGGGGGAAATCTCTTCTTTTTCTCTGTCCCAAATATCACCCTCTGACCTCTGTTGATTTGTCCCAGAAAGTCCTCAGGCCCTCACGGACAGTGCCAGGTGCACCACCTGCAGCCGTGGCCCACCCCTCTCTGGCGTAGCCGGTCCTGCTTGCTCTGCCTCGGGAAGATGCTCACAGCTATGCATGCACCCCACGCTTCCTCCCTTGGCCACAGAAGAAGCCCCACTGTGACCCACGGGACTCCCGCCCCCTCCAGAGATTCTGACACCTCCCCGCTGACTTCTCACAATGCCAAATCCCTTCTCAAGCCATGCTTGCTCAGCACAGAGAATGCCCACCGCCCTGGCTTTTGGTCAGCCTGGCCAACCTCGGGCCAAAGGTGTCATCTGGCCAGGATCTGTTTTCAGGGGGGAGGGCCTGGGGAGGGAGGAAGGGCCACAGCGGTGGTGGCAGCTGTTCTTCTTTATGATGAGAACATCCAGGTCTTGTGCAGGAGTGGAAGGACGGGGCCGAGCTGAAGTGTGCCCGCTCACTCGCTCCGATGTTCTGCATGCAAAGACAATGTTGAGTGAACGGGGACCTGTCAGCTTCACCTGGGCCTTCACACCTGTCCTGGAAGGTAACGTGGCTTCAATCCGCACTGCAGTTTCCTCTGAACACGATGACATCCTGGACGAGTGGCACTTCATTCCCATGCTACTCGAGCAGAAGTCCCTGCGCTCCCCTCCTCACCCGGCCAGAACGAGCAGCCCCACCCAGTCATTCAGCAGCATGAAAGTGTTTTCTGGCCAAGGAGGGAATCGGGAGGACCACGAGGGGGCTCGGTTGGCCCCGAGTCAACAAAGGCTCCGGGCTGCTCCCTGCCCGTCTGCAGCTCCCCGGATGCAGTGCCCCCACTGCAGGGGGCGGTGAGGAGGTGCCCCACCCCAGCACACCAGCCAAGCAACTTTCTATGCATTTCTTTGGGGAAGCCAGAAAGACTGAGCGATTCCCTGGCTTCATGCTTTTATTTTTCACCGCAAACCCCTCATGGATGCCACAAAGTCTCCCTTCACATCTATTCTACTGGGATAAAAATGTAAACACGCGTTTCAGATATGTCTGTTCCAGGAGAAGATGGAAGAAAGGTGGGGCAGGGTCACCGAGCAGGGGAAGCGGAGGAAACCCGGTCCTTTCCGGGGGCAGGGGATGGGGGGAGGCAGGTCTCTGCTTCTGCTGATGTAGATAAAAGGGGGGGTAGAGGTTTTGGGGCAAGGCAGGAAGTGACGCTGGGGCTCTCCAGGGGTTCTTGGGTTTAGGTGTTCTTGGCAGAGTATAGTCTGTTTCGTAATTCACGTGAGAACATGTTTGGTCAATGTTGGGTTACTTTATGCCAGGCGAGGGAGGAAAAGAGGTTTGCTGGCGGGGAATTGTATATTGGGGTGGGGGCTGAATTGAGCTCTGGCCCTTTTACAAGGGGCGGGGGGCATGGAAGGACCGTGTGCCCAGAAGGGGTAGGTGAATTAGCCCCAGTCCCCCCCTGTTATCGACTGAATAAGATGGAAATTTGAAACAACCTTTCCACCATATTCACCCATGATGAATATATTAGAATATTTTCCCTTTTGAAGAATAGATGTGAATATAAAATCCACCTAATTAAAACTGGAAGGATAAGGAACCACGCTGGTCTTACCCCTCTCATTTTTTTTAAAAGAATAACATTTTTTTTAGTTCCAATAATCTTTGAGGGGTAAGACCAGCCTGGTTCCTTACCCCTCCAGTTTTAATCAGGTGGATTTTATATTCACATCTATTCTTTAAAAGGGGAAATACTCTAATATATTCATCATGGGTGAATATGGTAGAAAGGTTGTTTCTCTCTATATATAAAGCCTGATGTAGCACCTCTAGTTTAATAGCAGTATTTTAACTCCCATCTTTTAAAATATATATATATAAAAGCATACATACATACATAAATATATATATATATATTTCTGCCCACCTGTCCTTGTTACTTTTAATGTTGAGAAAAAAGGAAGGAAGGAANAGAAAGAAAGAAAATGACCAGAGTTGCAGACCTTTGGGGGGGGAGCCGGGGGGGGGGCTCCTGCATTCTGCTGGAAAGGAACATCCTGTGGAAGGAATCCACACATTGAAATTCCCTGCATTTCTGATAGGAAGGGTATGAGAATAATTTTTTTAAAATATATGTATTTGTGTGTGTGCGCGCGTGTGTGTACACACATGCACACACACTTAAAAGATAAAAAAATGCCCATGACCTTAATTTTTTGCTCTGACCTGTATCTTCCTTGATGGGTAAACAGAGGTCTCTTGTTGGTTCAATTCACCAGCAATACAGAGGAGAAAAATGGATGAGGTCTTTTTTTTCTCCAGGTAATCCTTCCAGTAGGATCAGGGGAGCTCGTGGGATCCTGGGAAATCATCAGTTCAGTCTCTGCACCCAAATGTCTTGCTTCCCAACTGCCCCCCCCCTCAAAAGACTGAGCTGCAGCCAAGAGGGCACCAGGAGGGCCAGCTGGGCACCAGGTGACAGGATGCCAGTCCCCAGGAATGGCATCAAGTGAGCCTCCACTTGGCTAGTCTTTGGGTGGGCAGGCAGCAAAAGCTTTTGGCATCCCCCACGTCCCCCATCACTGCTGCCAGCTTGGGGCATTCAGAAGACCTTGCTTTCCTTAGCACAAATTTGGTCTCTTCCTGTGTGATGGCTGCCTGTTTTCTGGAGAACCAAAACGGGGGATTTGGGAATCAAGACATTGCCTGTGGCTGGCTGACCTCGAGAACACTTCCCAGAATTCCTTGGAGGAAGCCATGCCTGGTGCTTCACCAGCACAAAGGGGGTGGGTGGGTGATGTCATCTGAGCAGACCACCCGCCCCCCAATGCCAGCCCGCCAGCCCTGCTTTGGCACCACCCTGCGGGCCTTGGCCAAGCCTATGCAGCTGAGCTGTGGCTGGGGGAGATCCTGGGCATCTGATCAAGCCAGAAGTACTTACCCCAAGTTCTGGCTGGTCCTGCTGTGCAGGGATGGTGACCTCCAGAGCCCACGGCAGCCACGCAGAAGGCCCCAGTGCTGAGACTGGGGGGGGGGCTGAAAGAGAAGCTGAAGTATCTTTGCTGTGCCTTTCATGGCGTCCTTTTTTTAAGAAAGACCATCAACCGCAGAGTAGATCTTAACCATTTCAGGAGGGCTACGCTCTCTTGCCAAACCATATCAGAATAACAGAATAACTGAAGTTATTATATCTTATAATAACTGAA